GAGCTAACTATTAAAGGGGGTTAGAAAGGTTCGATCAAAAAGAGAAAGAAGAGAAAGGCTAGAAGGCTTAAAAAGGTGAAAAAAAGAAAAAGCCCAACACGTAAAAAAGATGAGGGAAAGAAGCTGCTAAAAAAAATATAAAGGCTAGCTGAATAGAGTAGAGGAAGAAGAAACAAAAAGCTGGAGAGTTCGGTCAAAGGCTAGAAGGCTGGAAAAGTGGAAAAAAAAGTCAAACACGTAAAAAAAAGAAGAAAAAAATTGCTAACAAAGAAGAAGAAAAAGTTGAATAGGAAAGGTGAAGGAGGAGGAAAAAAGAGAAAGAAAAGGAGAAGAGTTGCCAAAAGAAAGGGGCTGGAGGAGAAATTACCAAAGGAAGAAAGAATAGGAAGCTACCAGAAAGAATAGGGAGGTAGCTACCAAAAATAAAAGAGAGGAAGCAAGCTAAGGAAGAAAATGTTTAAATTTAACTATCTTTGTTCTTGCATGCAGCATGATTTCAATTTTATTTTTTGTTTTTAGCTACTGTAGTGTTCTCATTTATATAGTTTAGTGTTGATCGAATTGGCTTCCTTTTTCTTTACATGCCATGGGCATCTTTGGCTTGACTTCATAGAAGTTGTGGTCAATACATATCCAAGTTGATTTGTTTGATGTTATGCTATACTTGGTCATTGATTTTTTAAATATTCATTGAATCTATTGGTCTTTTATGGTGTGATGAATACTTATGGGAATGCTAGAAATTCTTTTTCTATTTTGGTTTTTTCACTTGTTAATAGTATTGTTTCACCTAGCTCAAAATCTTGTCTTATTTTTCCTTTTTGGATTGTTTACAACTTTACAAAGTTTTGAAAAGATGCTGAAATTTTTACAATAAGGCTTATTTTCATGAATGTTTTATATCATCATTTATTTCTCTAATGTTGTTTCAAATATGATTATAATTTAAATCCTATACATTTTCCTTTCATTGCTAGTTTGGTTAAATTTCTATGTTCACTTTGATTTTTATGCAATTTAGTTTTTGTACCTTAATTTATTTTAAATGCAAATTCGTTCTTCATTTATTAATAATAAATTGAGTGAAATTTCTGAGGATGATATTTTAGAGAAATTCAAGTAGTGATTCTTTAAAATGTCTAGGTAAGGATATTATTTTAAAAAAATACTACTAAAGTAATAGAGTATTTAAAAAATATCCAATAAAAAAAGGTTTCATTTATCTATTTTTCTAAAGTTTTGACAGATGATAATAATAATGTGTAATGACTCTTTTAATAAGGAAATTGATATAATTAAAGTTTAAAAATTACATTAAAAAAATATAATTAATTAAGTAAGAAAGGAAAAAGTGAATGAAATTTTTGAGGATGAGATTCTAAGAAAGTTTGAGTAAAGATTTTTAAGAAATCCCTAAGTGAGAAAATTTTTGTAAAATATTGCCAAAGTATTGGGATATCTAGAAAAATTTTCAATAAATTTTTTATTTACTTGTTCCTTTCAAAATTTTTAGTAATAAGTAAAGAGGATTAAAACATTTTAATCAATTTTTGTTTTTTGTATTCATGTTCTACTTGATTGTTTGCAATATATACTTTTAAATGTAAATGAAATTTTCGATGATGAGACTTTCGGAAAGTCCGAGTAATGATTCCCAAGAATTCTCTAAGTAAAAAAAATCTTTTAAAAATTACCAAAGTATTGAAATATTTAGAAGTTTCTTTTCAATATAGAAAATTTTTATTTCTATAATTGTTTTCTTTAGTTTGAACAGTTTTCTTAATAAATAAGAGTGTGTTTTTTAGGAAATAAATATTTGTGGATAATATTATTATTACTTGACTTTTAATAATTAACAAAAAACAAATGAAAAATCTTTGAGAATGAGATCCTAAAGAAATTATTGTAGTGATTTTTAAAGAATTTTTAGGTAAGAAAATCTATCTAAAATATCATGAATGTATTGAAATATTTAGATTAATTTTCGATAAAGGTTTCTCACTTTTTTTAAATGGCATAGAAATGAGTTTAAGAAAATATTATTTATTATTCAAATCATAGATATATATTTTATGTTTTTTTTTTCAAAAATAAATGTTTGAGATAAATATGGATCACCGATGATAGAATTTTTAAGAATTTTGAGTAGCAATTCTTAAAAATTTCTTAGGTAAAATAATTCCTTTTAATATCACCAAAGTATTGAAATATTTCCAAGAATTTTTGAATATAAGGTTATTATTTATTTTGAAACTTATTAAAACTTAAAAAATATGTTTTTAAAGAAAATTAAGAAAATCAATATTTGAATACTGAAATTAAGACTATTTTAATCAATAGTAAAAGATAATACATAATTAATTGATATTGTTTTAAATAGGTGTTGTGGGAGTGTTAATCCTTCTCTACATGTAAGACTCTCGAACCCAAACTATTTTTGTAGATCCAAAATTATTTTTTAATAAATTTTAAAATTTTATTAAGAGGATATGTTTTAATAAGTAACCGATCACACTTAACCAAAAAAATTTGTGGCAATCCCATTTATTTTGTTTTTCAAAATTCGTTTGTCCTCAAAATCATTATGACAAATATATAGTATTATAAGTTTTTAAAAATTTGATTTGAATTTGTATCAATTTCTTTTTAAAATCGATTGATCTAAATCGAAATCTACTTGTTCGATTTGATTTTTATCAATTTTTTAAAATTCTTTTAAAAAAAAATTTGTGCTATTATTGTTATATTATTTTTAATATATTTAAATAGATTTAAATATAAAACAACTAATTTTTTTTGTAAGAATTTAAAATCAATATTATATAATTAAAACAATCCCTAAGAAGTTATTCATTTGACATTTGGCAAATTTTAATTGGTTTTGTTTTTTATTATTTTTAGGAATCCAATGTTTGCCATTTTTCAAAATTTGATTGGTTGATTTTGTTACTTAATAATTAATTATTAAGCATATGGGCTTCACTCATTTCTGTTAGAAATATGGATTCAGTAAATAGTTATTTGGGCAATGAAAATGGAGTGAGTAAAACGGGCTGAAAAATGTGATATGGCTTTTAGTCATTTCTGTTGAAAAATTAGGCTTAGTAATAAATTAGGTTCAATATTAGTTATGGGTTTAATAAATTTTTTTAGTTTCTTATTATTATAAATAATACAATAGTAATAAAATTAGTTATTAATTTCAATCTAATTTTTAATTTACACATTTAAATTTATACTTTATTTATAATATAGTAATAGTAATAATAATAATAGAAACATTAAAATTAGCTTCTGTACATTTGAGATTTAAATTTAATTTAATTAATTTGGATATAATATTATATATTACATGTTTTAAATATCAATAAGTTTTAAAATTAAAAAATTTATTGGGATGATGTCATTTGCTAATAAGTTAAAAAAATGGATAATTACATAATGAAATTTTAAATTGGAGTTGAGCATATTAAGTTTAAAATGTTTAAAGGAATAAACAATAAATTTTTTTTTAGTTTAAATTTAAAACTATCTCCAAATATTATTAGTTTTTAATACATTATATTAAAATTATCTTGGCTAGGGGTTCATTTACTGTCACAGGATAGTCATGAATATTAAATAGTATTTATATTAATTTTATTTTAAGTTACATGAATTTAATTATTTTTGAATCTATGGTATTCATGAATCTAATTAATTATAAATAATTAAATTATTTTTTTATATTTGAGAATATTAGATATTGAATTATGATTATTGAAATTAAAAGTTTAATATTTTATTAACAGATTACATGATCGTTAAGTTGGATGAAGGTACTTAATGTTCAATATATTTTAAATCTAATATTCTTAGTTTAGATTAACATATATTGAATAGTATAAATATTTATGCATCAAATACAAATTATTTGCATTAATATTTGCTCTTTTGGTGTAATCATTTAAACTCTTTATAGATAAATATCAATTATGCTTACGCTTTCTATATATTTAAAAGTTTTATTTCAGTTTGATTTTTTTTATATTTTTATTCTTTGTAAAAATATAAATTATTAATTTTGAATCATTAAAAATTAAAAATTTATTTTTAGTTTATCAATCAAAAGTTCAAACTAAGACTCCGTTTGTTTCACAGAAAATAAATTCTTGAAAATGTTCATATTTTTTGAATTAAAAGAGGTTTTTTATTGTTTGGATGAGTAAATGAAAAATATTTTTTATTATTTGGTTATTTTTTGAAAATTTTATTTTTTTCAAATAATATTAATATAACTATTAAAATATTAAAAATTATTTATTATTAAAATATATTGAAATTATTTATTATTAAAATTATTAATATTAAAAATAATTATATTTTAATAATAATATTTAATATTAAAATATTATATTAATATAAAAAAACTTAAAATAAAACTATTTATTATTGTTTATATTATTTATTAATATATTAATATATTATTTATTAATAATATTTATTATATATTATATTAATAATATATTATTTATTCATATATTATTATAATATTTATTAATTAAATTAATAATATTTATTATGCTATATTATTTATTAATAGAATATTATTTATTAATATATTAATATATTATTTATTCCTATATGATTTGTTAACATTATGTATTATTTCATTTTTTTTTTAATTTTTCATTAAAAGTTACAAATTACTCATATATACTATTTGTTCACAATAAATTTTTTTTTTTACATTTTCATTAAATATCTATTTTAAAAAACTGTTAACAAATAAAAAATACCATAAGTGAAGCATTTGCAATAATTTAATTTATATAAAAATTAATAAAAAATGTAATTTGATTATTTGAATATTTTAAAAATTAATCCAAAGCAAATTTAAATATTTAATATCTAATTCATATCAAATCAAATAAAAAAATAATTAATCCAAATCTAATATTACAATTTCAAATAGATTTTCCAAGTTTTTTCCTCAGCCCACTCCCTAATCATGAAAATAAAAAAAAAAAATGGAAGTTAAAATATGAGGGGGTCGGGGAAGGGCGGAATGGGAACTCAGATGGGAATTGTGTGGAAAATCAAATGGACACAATTACACAAATTCACCCTCAAAAACTAGATATATATAAACTGAATGAATGCATATAAAACTTCACCGCTGAACTGAAGAAGCTCTTAGCTTCGGTTAACAATGGCAGTCCTAAACTATATATCATTGAGAGTAACTACAACAACAGCAGCAATCTCTCAAGAAAAGCCCAAACCAAACACAAGGCAGACCAAAGTCATCTTGCCCAAGAAGAAGCCACTTAAATGGTCAACAGATGTGGCTCCAGGGGAGTATGGTGGCCCACCCACAACCTCCAAGCGTCGCAAGTACTGGGTTGGCGAAGAGGACGACCCTTTAACTTCTGATGACTTCATTTGGAACAGAGATTTCGTTGGTAGAATGAAGAAGCTCATTCAGGACCCTGCTGCTGTTGATGACCCTTCTCTTCAATCCTCTCCTGTTAAGCTTCAATTTGGTTTCTTCTTTAGTTTATTTTGTTATGTCTTTTATGCTTTTTGTGTGTTTTTGTAGTTTAGTAGCACAATTGGAATACCATTTATGTTGGTTTTTTTTTTTTTTAATTTTGTGCTTTTAATATGTTTACTGTTTTAATTATTTTAGAAAAGACATATATATATTTATATTTGTGCCGATGTGATTGTTATTACTATCATATTTTGATCATTCTTATAATTCAGTTCATATGGTTTGGTGTAAACAGGAAGAGCCTTCTGGATTTTTAAACTTGAATCGAGTTATGAGCCTTGACAGGTTTGTGCCTATTAGCAATGCGGTAATTCAATTTATTTCCTTTAGATATTTCTTTCATCCATTTTTGCTGCTGATGTTGTTGTTTTGTTTCCAACCGATATTATATGAATGTAAATAGTCTGGAAGTCGATCTGAGCAAGGAACTTACAGCACCTTCAAAGCCTGTGTTACAACAGGCAGTTGAATCCGCAACTCATGTAAGACAAATGTCTTTTTTTCCCATCAGAATTTCTTTCTCTAATGGAATTCTCTGCGTTATTACAAATTTTTTTCTTATTTCATTTATTGGAATGAAATGACTAGCAGAGCAGTGGCAGCATGTCACCCAAATGGAAATTGGTATCAACGCGGCGTGAACAAGAAAAGTGGGATAAAGCAACAAAGGCTGCAACTGGTGGCAGTGTAAATTATATTTCATTCCCACTGCTGGTTATTAGTAACTTTGATTAGTTAGTTGTCAGTCAAGAAAACACAGTATGGATTTTTTGAATTTGAAGCCCAAATTTGACTTTGGTTTTTACCTTCAGAAATAGGAGCTCTAATTATGTTGATTCTTGTCACTGTCATATGAAACGATATTCCATGTTACGTCTTCTTATTCTGTTTTGGTTCTACCATGTAGGATGTGATGTTGCGGGAACTGCAGCGGCCTCAAGGAGACCCCGAACTATTGGCTGTTCAATCAAGGGAGCAGTACTTTAAGGTAGTTGGGAGTAGTATTTGTTGATTTCATCATCTCATTTGTTACAGTTTCACTTTGTTTGTTCCTAGTGGAAGAGATTTGTTAAGGTTTCTCTTCTATTTATAACTTTTGAAATTCCTACTGCAGTTGAAAAAGAAGTTGCAAGTTCTCACCTTGGTTATAGGCAGTGTTGGTTTAGTCTCAGCTTATGTTTCTTACTCCCCTGAAGTTGCTGCTAGGTTCGTACCTGTTTGTACTTATTTTAGTTGAGTATACGTACATATTCCTGTATTCCTAGTGTGATTTGAAATTTTAATTAATAAGTTGTTGCCGGTGGCAGCCGACTTTCTGTAATATCTCTTGACAATTTTCTTTCGCTTCCCTTCTTTTGTTTTAAGCTTTTTGCCTTAGTCATGTTTTAACAGTCATGCATATCAGATACCAACTACTAAATTGTCTGAGTATGTCTTCATGGTAACCATTATTCAGAACCTCAGAGCAATATTTGTTGGTTGGCATCTAGTAATTGAGAAGGGAGAACTGCAATTTATGAATACTAGGACTGGTGTATTTGTGAGGATACATGACAAATTTGCATTCTTTCATATTTAAGTTTTATGTGCTTTCTCTCTCCCCCTTTATCTTCTCCTTCCACTGGTGCTACTGTGCTTCCATTCACTCCTTTCTATTCTTTTTAGTTCCTCTCTTCATTATCATCAAATCTTTCTGTTTTGGACTTGGTTGCACTTCCTTTGTTCTTTTCTGAGTGTAGAGAAAGGATAAGAGAGAACTGATACAGGGAGAGGGGGTAAACAAAAAAGAAGAAAAGAGGGGAAAATAAAATTGAGCTACGGAGGATCTAGCATGTCCTTTTTTGTTACTTTTAATGGTAATCAGACTGGACCACCGTAAAAAGAGTTTCAAACTCTATTATAAATGTTGAAATTTGAACCTTATGGCCTGGATTCAAATTCAACTTAAAATTTAAGGTTGAGGTTTGTTATTTACGCATTCCTATGTGTTATGGTTCTGAAGATCGTGCATGTAGATTCGGTTTTTAGTATATTGTAGAGTTGGATAATCATAAATAGCTTTGAAATCTTGTTTTTACCTTGGTTTAGTCATGACCATCTGCATTCTGCATCAATTCCTTGTGTATGGTTATTGGTCCTAGCCTATTGGCACATCAAATGTTTTGTTAACAGACCCCAATTTCAACTAAATCTTGCACCCATTAACTCGATTTATGTAACAATCTCTTTGGAACAGATAAAGGTTTATTAATTTTATAGTTCGAGATCTATTATGTTGTTGAGTATAAATTTTAAAATTAGGAGTTCATTGTTCTCTCCATTATATTTGAAGATTTTTCATTGTTCCTGACTGCAGCTTTGGTGCTGGGTTGCTTGGTTCATTGATGTATATGCGCATGCTGGGAAGCAGTGTGGATTCCCTAGCAAAAGGAGCAAAGGGGCTTATGAAGTAAGTAATTTGTTAGTCCACTCTTACTATCTTTAATTGATGACTTTCATGTAGAATATTCTCCACTATCTTGATATCCTTTGTACCATGTATAACTATGACTACATACACAGTAAACTGATCAACTTAGGAATCGTAGTATCATTGGCAGCTAAGCCAAAATACTGCAAATGAAACAGGACATAAGTTTCCAATTCTTGTCATGCACTTTATGGAAGAAAAATGTTTGAGTCAGATAAATGAAATTAGTTAGATATGTATTAAGAATGCTTAAACCCTTTATGTATAGAATGATTTATTAAGATTTACAAGTAAAAAAAAAAAAAAAGCTTTAGGTAATCGGTCTCTATAAATGCATTTACTTATTTTTTTCCTCAATGACTTGAAAATTTTACAAATTTATGCATGACGAGATGATCAAAAGTTTCTTGGAGAAATTGTTGAGGAGTTTGATAATCAATACGCCATGTGGAATGGTTTGGTTCCCCTAGAAATTTTACGTTATACTTTAATACTTGAATGTTTAAGTCAACAGGAGACTTGTGCTCACAAAGCTTATGGTCTTTGAGAAGCATAGAAGAGGTGATTCTGTTCAGTAGTGTTACCTGCATTAAGTCCCGGACAGATTGCATTCTTATGTTCCAAGAAGATATTCTCACTAGAATTATGAATCTACTAAATTCCTTGACTGCCAGGAAGATTTTCTTTTCTTTTTTTTTTTTTGGGGGGGGGGGGGGGAGTGGGGATGAGATGGGATAAAGGTTCTGCTCATGTAAGAAATTACTTAAACATAATTCTATAAAATTGAACTATTATGTTGAACAATTGAACTCAATCAAAATGCAAATTTATATTGACAGGTGTTTCAAATAGGTAGTGTGACCAACGAGGTATTATATTGTTGAATCCCTGAATGTCTTTCTGAGTAGTGCCACAAAGCAATCTCAACTAATGTTTCTATGGATATATTTCCATTTAGTATTTCCTTTGCAAAAATGTCTTTTTAAACCTATTTCCATTGGTATCTCACCAAAGAAAAAACCATTTTGTTTAGAGTGCAGAAATGCTCATTAGAGATTATGATGATTTTAAATGTACTTAATGTTGATTGGTTTTTCATCAAATTTTGAAAATTAAGTTCTTTCTTAAAGTGAGGACAGATGTTGGTGGCAAAATAGAGCAAAAGAATTTGCTTTGAGTGCAGAAATGCTCCTTAGAGATATGTTGATTGTCTTTTCATCAAAGTTTGGGAATAAAATTTGTTCTTAAAGGATAAATGTTTGTAGCAAAACAGAACAAGAGAGTTCTTGTCGATACAAAGTTTTGGACTGACTAAAAGGATTAGAAAGTAGTGGGGGAAAAAACCAACATAAGGAAAATAATAAAATTTTCTATGACGAGGCAAGTGTCAACCTAGATAAACAGAGGTCTTTCTTCTCTATTTCTCCATTGTCACAATGAGCTGTATGCGCTGATGGCAAGCCGTAAATGTGCATTGTTGTTATAAACGACCTGGAAGTAATAGAAATTGCTCTAAAATTCTATGTTGAAGAGGATAGAATTCTTTATATATCTTTTCACTTTTGTTCCATATATAGTCTTCCTAGTCCAAGGTGACTGGATTTCACCTTTTAGCTCACTTTGAGCTTTGCTTGTAGGGGGGCAGTTATGCAGCCGAGGATACTAATTCCTGTTGTATTGGTCATGATCTATGATCGTTGGAATGAGTAAGCACCTTTTCTAGCATTTTCGTGTTGATAAATTGCTTATCTGTTAACTTAAACATGCTCCTTTTCTGAAGCCAGTCTATTGAAATTCTATTGACATCTATCTTTGCCACTCTTTCACCAACTTCTGATCATTACTATAATTTTACCTCTATAGGATTGCTCTCTATTTTGTAATTACCTGTTATCCTTATGTATTCTATTATGCTGTTATTTACTCTTTTGTAAAATACACAATGGAAGAAAACCCTCTTGTGTCCCTGTACTCACCCTAAAACATGGCATATGCCTTGATGTGTCCTGTTTTCTGGATAGGATTTCCATTTTCTTATCATGTTAAAAAAGACATTTTTGTTTTCTTTTTTTTAAGAAAAAAATGCGCCAAATGTTGAATCATTATGTCTGAGATGCTTCCTTTCTAGTTAATACTGTAACTTATAAAACCAGGGAGGTGTGTTTCAATTCTTGAAAGGCCTATCTGTTGGAATTCTGCCTTAAGACATCTTTTCCTTAGAGTTTATGTGCCCCACCCTCCCCACCAATATCGGTTGAAATTTTTTTTCTCATTCTATATTGAACTATTCTAATGTCATGTTACCTTTGGTGGCATTATAAAGTAGTACTGCTTCTCCTTCTACATGATTATACAGCTCATTTTGGTACCTTTCTCGTGCCTTTCTCTAATTTGTAAGATGCTGTTATATTCTGTATCTGTGGTTTGCCTAGCAACCTCAAACAAATACATGGAAACCCTACGTAAAAAATCCATCCAGTTCAAAATTGGGCATGCAGATTTGCAGATATTCTTGGCATCCATAAAAGTTTTGGTTTTCATGCTGACAATGATCTGTTTGGTGTAGGATCCTTGTTCCAGAATATGGTTATATGCACTTAGAATTGATTCCAATGTTGGTGGGATTTTTCACATACAAGATTGCCACTTTCTTCCAAGCTGTAGAGGATACAGTTGCTATGTTTGGGGAAAAAACAGAGGTCTAATACTAAAAAGCATGGCAAGTAGAAGAGCATCTTAAAACAATAAAATTGTTGCATTTCTCACAGGTACTGTATTCATTTTCAATAACTACTGTACCATTAATGATTCTTTTAAGAAAGCTGGCTTTTTTTGGCCTTGCTTTCTCGCAAACTTTGTAAATTTGTTTTCTTCATAGGAATTCCTAAATTTAGTACTGATTGACTCTGTTGAAAATTAAAATCTCAGAGGAATTAAGGTATATGATCTAACTTGCCAAATTTTGATCCAAATATCCTCCACTTTAACTAGCTAAATTTCAAAAATTAAATGAAAAAAAGAACAATATTTGGCAGTTTATGGTGTTGTAGATACATGTATTTTTAACAATTGTAGTTTAGATACGTAAATAACCTTTTCAGGAACATGCATTTTGTATCCCTTCTCTTTTAGAATTTTGTTTTTGTCGATGTATATGCAGAAATAGTTTCAGCTGCTGATTGGAAGCGAGGGGATAACATGAAAGCATTGGGCAGAAGACAAACGACACAAGAAAGCTCATTTTTAGTTCATTGCAGGATATTTAGTAGCTTGTTTAATGGGAAAATATATAACTTTTTGGCACATCGATTTCTCTTGTTGAAGAGTAAAATGCTTCGTAGATAAGAGTTCTGGATGACATCTATACACGCACGGATGGTATTGGCATCAATAGAAATCCGGTAAACACTGGAGCAACTGTCAACATTCTACCATGTACAATCCTCAGGAAATTAAGGCTGCACAGTGCGGATGTCACCCCTAGCACTCTTGTAGCATTTGGGCCATTTCGACTGTAGGAGTTGTTACTTGGTTAATTTATATATCGGAAATTAAGACCAATTTTTAACATCTTAAATTTCGTTTTTACCAAAATAACTTAGTTCGGAGATTTAGATACAAGATTTGAACGAACCAAAGTTCAAAACCTTGCTTCGAATAAGCATATCTTTATTTATTCACTTTATCAATTTATATTGTATTATATTGTCATCTTGATACTTAATTGTCATAATGTTTAAATTTGAAAATTTGTTTATTAAATGTAAAATTATGGGTTATCATTAATTTTTTTTATCTAGATTTGATTGATTATTTATGTAAATTTATTCTTTTTAAGATTATCTTAAAAAGAATAAGTTTTAATCTATATCAATAAAATTAAGTTTAAGAGTTGGTTATATGCATGAAAGATATTAGCATTCAATTACGCTCAAAATATCAAATTAATCATATATTATCTTGTATAAGTTTTTAATAAAAATTGATTATTTATTAAGTTTGATATTTAAATATTGAAAACAAGTATTTAGATTTTCACAAAAAAATTTTCTTTTCACATTGAGAGTAGTTTAGATAAATTTGTTCACTTGAAGGGATTTTATCGTTGGATTTATTAAATATCTTATGAAAAATTAATTTCAATTAATTTTACTTATTTACAATATTTGTTCGTACAAAAATTTTATAAAAAATATCATGCAATAATGTTATAATTAAAACATACAAAGATTATGCAAAAATAATCATATAAAAATAATTCATAATAAATCATGCAAATAAATATAATAAAAATCATGAAAAATATCATGTAAATAAATATAATAAAAATCAAGTAAATAAATATAATAATAAAAATCCTATCAAAGTTTCACATTTTTTTCCTTTTCTTCTTCTCATCACTTTTAATTTAATCACAATTAAAAATACTAAAATAGGAAAAAAAGAAAAAATAAAACAAAAAATCAAAAATTAAAAAAGAAAAATTTGCGATAAGATCAAGTCAAGAAATGGATTTGGCGTGAGTTAAGTTTTTCCAAACAATGTTGTTTGCTCTCAATATTTAAATAAAAAAACCAAAACCTTCATAATTTCCTTTTACTTTCTCTCTTTAGTCCAAAACTTTTCCCTCAAAACTCAAAGCTCTGTGCGGGTTGATGATTCTAATTATCTCAATTGCTTTTTGAGTCTTTTATTGTTAGAGATTTTTGACTGAAAATTGGGCTCTTTATATAGGAGTTGAATATCTTTTCAGTTTGAAAAATTTTAATGCCAACTGAATCTATTAAGATCTTGTCAAAATTTTTTTTCTTTCTTCAAAAAACTTGATTCTAAAAAATTACCAAAATCAAACTTAATCTTTAAATTTCAAATCTAAATAAAATCACAATCTTAAAAAAAATCAAAATTTATGTTATTATTTTTACCAAATAAAAATAAAAAATATTTTTGGGCCTTTAAATTTGGGCTTAAAAATGACTTTTAAAACTCAATATTACAATTCGAAACCTAACAATATCAAAAAGATCCCGGACAAAATTGGGTGTCTACAGTTGGTACTTTTTGCACATTTTCTTAGAAACTTTCAAAAACTTTGAAACTTTGAAACTTTGAAACTTTTAGAAAATAAAATGTTCTCCCCACGGGAGGCTTTGAAACTTTTGGAAAATAAAATACATCCTCCCACTAGAGGCTTTGAAACTTTTAAAAAATAGAAGAAATATATGAAGTTTTCAAAATTATGCCTTGAGGTTTTATAGATCATGCTTGGAGGTCTTAAAAATTGTATTAAAATGTTTTATAAATTATTCTCATCTTTGAAAAAGCTTTTTGTTAATAGAGGCTTTGGAACTTAAAAATCAACATTTGCCTTTCATGTACCAACATAGTTAGGCTTAAATTCTCAATTGATGCCATGAGCTTAATCTAAGCTTATGTCTCATCATGTGCCAGCTAATCTGAATTTAATTCTCATAATGTGCCAACTAATCAAATCTTTTTGTTTCTTTCTTCACCTTAAAGTTTGCAAATATCATGATATGAATGCCAATGTATCTTACCAAGATGCAAATACTTATCTCACCAATATAAAATGCAAATGCTTTCCGTAAAAATGCAAAAGCACATATCTACCCTAATAAATTAGATGCAAATGTCTTTTTTCATCATCTTTCTTAATATATTCAAAATCTTAATTAAATTATGCAAATGTTTATAAATGTTAAAGCTCTAAATGTTCATCAAATGATGCAAATGCAACATTAAACAATGATTTACATGATCACAAAATGATGTAAATGCATGGTGCAATGATTTAAATTCACACAAATTGATGCAAATACATAGTCCAAAAAATTATGCAATTTATAATTCTCCAAATGATGCAAATGCATGATCCAAATAATTACGTAGTTTATAAATTTCTTAATGATGCAAATGCATTATCTAAACAATTACGTAGATGCAATTTTCAAAACAAAATTTTGTACATTTACCAAATTTATCAAAACAAAGCATTTTTGTTGCCCTAGAAAGGTCACTCTTGTCGTATTGATTTGGAAATCTTTCTCCCATTCACCAAAATTCATATATGCAACAATCTAAATTTGAATGTTTTTTAAAAACTTTCAAAAAAATGAAAACAATAATTATTCCAAAAAAATGCCCCACATAACAATTTTTCATGACCAAAATGTATCAATTCTTTTAAAACATATGGCATTTAGATCTTTTAAAAATTGATGATTACTATCTAGAATGAATTAGGTGAATTGTATCTTAGTTTTTCCAAAAGGACAAAATGGTTTGGCACATCAAGATTTTAGTTACTAAGAAAATTTTTTTTATTTGATGAGAAAAAACAAATCGGTATTTCTTCATCTAGGCTCATAAATGAAAAATTATCTTTAAAGCACAATCCACTTTTTTCACTTTTTTAATTTCTCGATACAGTATTTTAACAAATGTCATGATTAACTATGATAGGCTTAAAATTTACGAGAAAGAAAGAAATTCTAAAAATTTTAAAACAAATCTTCATATTGGAGTTCATCTTCTTAATTCTTAAAGGTTTTCATTGTTCATTCAAAATCCTTTCCTCTAATGAAATTACTAGAGTTGCTTTCAAACTTTCAATATTGCTCTAGACTATCCTTTCGGGTTTTCACCTTAGGGCCTTATTCAATCTTTTTTTTTTCTTTATTTTTACTATTCTATCATACATTTGAAAACTCAAAATTCATCCAAAATCCAAAATTGATGATGATTTTCTAAAGAAAAGTTCTTCAATTTAGATATCCACACTTGATTAAAATAGGCTTTCAAAAGACATAATATAGGCCAAGGTTTGAGACTCTAAAAGAAAGGATAAATAAGCTAAAAAATGTGTTTAAGATAATCAAACAAAAAATCACTTATTTTCTCCAAAGACATTTTCCTTTCCACATTTCTTTTCTTTTCATTTTTCATTTTCTCTTTTCATTTTTTTTTCATGTTTCCGTTCTAATAAATTGAGTCGAAAATTTTGGAACTTGCCATTTAGCTGTAGGCATTCTTTCATTGTCTTTAACTTTGGATCTAATACTTTCTCAAATAAATCTTCTTTCATACTTGTCTTCTAGTATGAAGGGTGATTATTAGTTAGGGTTTCTTCAAAAAGATTTCACTAGGCTTAAAAGGGATAGCAAATGGATATTTTCTTTTTGTGAAAGGAATATGAAAGAAGACATTTATCATATTAAATATGGACACATTTTTTGAAAAGTAATTCTTGGGAAAGGATTTTTTTTCTTTGATTTTGGAATCATTTAAATACCTCATATACATGATGTAATCAATACTTTTCTTTTCATTTTTTTCATTTACTTTTTTTTATTGCTACTTTTTGTATAACCTATAAGTGCACATATCAAGCAATAAAATGGAAATATTCTAGTATTATCTTCTAAGGGATTATAAATTGTAATGTTGGGTAGCTCACATTTACCAAAAGTGATAGCCTAAAATCTTATATCTAAATAATTTAAAATTTAGGGGTTGATTGTAAAATAAAGAAGAGAAAAGATTGAAAGCAATACATGCTTGAATCTTGACTTCACCAACTATCACTTGGGAAGTAAAAGAGAGTAGCCACAACTAAAGAAAACAACTTGAAAAATAAGAACATTTGATGAAGGCCGAATGATATAAAATTGCATAAAAAAACGTGAAACTAAATTCTATGAAATCTTATAAAGAAATAGAGTAGGAATATTTGAATCAAACTTGTAAAATAAAGAGAATGCTTGTCGAAATTAAGAGAGTAAAAACAAGGTTTGAAAATAGAACAATGAAGGAAAAGATCTTGGAAAATACTTCTTTAACTAAAAGAAAATAATTTTAAAAACAAAACTTTGGTTATTGGCAAATTTGTCACCTAAGCCAATAACTTAAACTAAAAAGAAACAAAAACTAAAGAACCAAAGAGAGAAGAGAAAAATGAGATGAGGGATGATAGAATGGGGTAAATAGCTTCCCTATTTATAGTGAGAGATCTAGCTAAGGGGGATAAGTTTACAAGATTTTGATTTAAATTCAAATACTAATGGATGAAGGCTATCTTGATCTTCAAAGTTGCATGACTGAATGGGAGTTTTCCTTGTTGAGAATACTTGGCTTAATGGGATGTCTAGGAAGCAATCTTGGCCTTTAATCAATTCTTGATGTAAACTTGAATAAATCTCCACTCTTGGTTCAACTAAGGCTTGGGATTTCAAGACTAGATTGATTTTTCCTTCAATTATCTTGATAATTATCTTGCAAAGTACTTCATTTATAAAAACTCTTTTATTAGATGAGCTAAAGAGCCCATTATGAACATAAGCACTTTTGGCCAAATATGATAAGGATTTGGAGAGTCCTTAAGCTTGCAAACTAAGCTCCATTCTTTCTTACATTTAAGATGGCCAAATGGATATAGTTCTTATGCATGTTTAATTCTTTTAAGAGCAATAAAAAAAATTCTTCTTGGATAAAAACACCTTTGACCAATCATGCAAGAGTCTATGGTAGCTTGAAATTATTCAAAATGGCATATGAAAACTTAATCTCTTCTTGAATTTGAATTAGCCGAATGCATGTAGAGTCCTTATGCAAGCAAAAATCTTATTTTGTTGCATAGTTGAAGGCTTTCACCAATGAGGTTCGGCCAACCTTTGGTTTTGCATGGCTGATTATCTCCCTCATGCATGGATTGCATGTTTTCCTCATCCATAAGCTTGAAACCTTAACAA